TCATGGGCACAGCTGATGCTGGTGCCAGGATGTCAGATCCTGACAGATGGTAATTTCCAAGTGATAGTAACTCCAGCCTTGAGGGAAGGTAAATCTTGAAGCTGATGTAGCTGATAAACCTTTACTGGAATACTTGGCCATATCCCCATTGTCCCTTCTGAAGCCTGCCAACTCAGGCTGATACTACTGAAGTCTCCCAGCTCAGGTTGACACTACTGAAGTCTCCCAGCTCAGGCTGATACTACTGAAGTCTCCCAGCTCAGGTTGACACTACTGAAGTCTCCCAGCTCAGGTTGACACTACTGAAGTCTCCCATCTCAGGCTGACACTACTGAAGTCTCCCAACTTAGGCTGACACTATTGAAGTCTCCCAGCTTAGGCTGAAACTACTGAAGTCTCCCACCTCAGGCTGACATTACTGAAGTCTCCCACCTCAGGCTGACATTACTGAAGTCTGTCAGCTCAGGCTGACACTACTGAAGTCTCTCAGCTCAGGCTGACACTACTGAAGTCTCCCAGCAGCACACTGCGGGTGTAACCATTTCGTTACAAGAAGTGAGAGTGAGGGGGAGGGGAGGGAGGGATGGAGGGAACAGGGAAGGGGTAAGAGAGGAGGGGAGGGGCATGAGAGGAGGGGAGGGGTAGGAGAGGAGGGGAGGGGAAGGGTAGGAGAGGAGGGAGGGGAGGAGAGGAGGGGGTGATGGGGAATGGCAGAGAGGTGCTAACGTCTCTCGCTTTCGTTGAGAAGTCTTGGCACCTGGTGTGTCAGGTGTCATTCCTGACACCAGGTGTATGTCAGGTGTCATTCCTGACACCTGGTGTGTCAGGTATCATTCCTGACACCAGGTGTATGTCAGGTATCATTCCTGACACCAGGTGTATGTCAGGTGTCATTCCTGACACCAGGTGTATGTCAGGTGTCATACCTTACACGAGGTGTATACCAGGTGTCATTCCTGACAGCTGGTGTGTCAGGTGTCATTCCTGACACAGTGTATGTCAGGTGTCATTCCTGACACCAGGTGTATGTCAGGTGTCTTTCCTGACACCAGGTGTGTCAGGTGTGATTCCTGACACATAGTGTGTCAGGTGTTATTCTTGACACCTGGTGTCAGGTGTCATTCCTAAAACCAAGTGTGCGTCAGGTGTGATTCCCGACACCTAGTGTGATTCCTGACTCCTAGTGTGTCAAGCGTCATTCCTAACACCTGGTGTGTCAGGTGTCATTCCTGACATCTGATGTGTCAGGTGTCATTCCTGACAACTGATGTTTCAGATGTCATTCTTGACACTAGGTGTCTGTCAGGTGTCATTCCCGAAAAATGGTGTGTCAGGTGTCATTCCTGACAACTGGTGTGTGTCGGGTGTCATTCCTGACAACTGGTGTGTCGGGTGTCATTCATGACAACTGGAGTGTGTCTGGTGTCTTTCCTAAAAACTGTTTTGTGTCAGGTGTCAGTCTTGACAACTGGTGTGTGTCAGGTGTCAGTCTTAACACCTGGTGTGTCAGTTGTCATTCCTGACGACTGGTGTGTCAGGTGTCATTCCTGACAACTGATGTATCAGGTGTCATTCTTGACACCAGGTATCTGTCAGGTGTCATTCTTGACACAAGCTATCTGTCAGGTGTCATTCTTGACACCAGGTATCTGTTAGGTGTCATTCTTGACACCAGGTATCTGTCAGGTGTCATTCTGACACCTGTTTGTATAGGTGTCATTCTTGATACCAGGTGTTGTCATTGTCATACCTGACAACTTGTGTTAGGTGTCATCCTGACACCTGGTGTTGTTGGTGTCATTCCTGACACGATGTATCGGGTGTCATTCTTGACACCAGGTGTGTGTCATTTGTCATTCCTGACAACTTGTGTGTGTCAGGTGTCAGTCCTGACACCTGGTGTGTCTGGTGTCATTCCTGACACCTGATGTGTGTCAGGTGTCATGACACAATGTGTCAAGTGTAATTCCTGGCCCCAGGTGTATGTCAGGTGTCATTTCTGAAACCTGTGTCAGGTGTCATTTATGACACCTGCTGTGTGTCAGGTGTCATTCCAAACAACTAGAGTGTGTCAGGTGTTATTCTTGACAACTGTTGTGTCAGGTATCATTCCTGACACCAGGTGTGTCGGATGTCATTCCTGACACCGGGTGTGTCACGTGTCATTCCTGTCACCTATTATGTCAGAGCATAACACCTGGTGTGGTTGCTACAGTATGACACCTGGTGTGATTGATGCAGTGTCACACCTGGAGTGATTGATGCAGTGTCACACCTGATGTGGTTGCTACAGTGTCACACCTGGTGTGATTGCTGCAGTGTCACACCTGGTGTGGTTGATGCAGTGTCACACCTTGTTTGATTGCTACAGTGTCACACCTGGTGTGGTTGATGCAGTGTCACACCTGGTGCGGTTGCTACAGTGTCACACCTGGTGTAGTTGCTACAGTGTCACACCTGGTGTGGTTGCTGCAGTCACACCTGGTGTGGTTGATGCAGTGTCACACCTGGTGTGATTGCTGCAGTGTCATAGTGTGGTTGATGCAATGTCACACCTGGTGTGGGTGATGCAGTGTCACACCTGGTGTGATTGCTGCTGTGTCACACCTGGTGTGGTTGATGCAGTATCACACCTGGTGCGGTTGCTACAGTGTCACACCTGGTGTGATTGCTGCAGTGTCACACCTGGTGTGATTGCTGCAGTGTCACACCTAGTGTGGTTGATGCAGTGTCACACCTGGTGTGGTTGATGCAGTGTCACACCTGGTGTGGTTGATGCAGTGTCACACCTGGTGTGGTTGATGCTGTGTCACACCTGGTTTGGTTGATGCAGTGTCACACCTGGTGTGGTTGATGCAGTCACACCTGGTGTGGTTGCTACAGTGTCACACCTGGTGTGATTGCTGCAGTGTCACACCTGGTGTGATTGCTGCAGTGTCACACCTAGTGTGGTTGATGCAGTGTCACACCTGGTGTGGTTGATGCAGTGTCACACCTGGTGTGGTTGATGCAGTGTCACACCTGGTGCGATTGATGCAGTGTCACACTGGTTTGGTTGATGCAGTGTCACACCTGGTGTGGTTGTGAGTGTCAGGGTCACATCACCTGGTGTGGTTGCTCAGTGTCACACCTGGTGTGATTGCTGCAGTGTCACACCTAGTGTGGTTGATGCAGTGTCACACCTGGTGTGGTTGATGCAGCGTCACACCGGTGGTTGATGCGGCACTGTGCATTATGCAGTGTCACACTTGGTTGTGTTGCTGCAGTGTCACACCTGGTGTGGTTGATGCAGTGTCACACCTGGTGCGGTGCTACGTGTCACACCTGGTGGTTGCTGCAGTGTCACACCTGGTGTGTGCTGCGTCACCTAGTTGGTTGCAGTGTCACACCTGGTGTGGCTGCTATAGTGTCACACCTGGTGTGGTTGATCTCATGCTTCTAAGTTCGCTTCTTCCTTGAGATTCTCACGGATTCCTGACCCTTACCAACACTCGCTGACCCACTGAAAATACACCTTGTTGATATTAATATTATATTTTATATATATATATATATATATATATATATATATATATATTATGGAGTATGAGGTGAAGTATCTAGATGCAATAATCACGTGAAAAAAATTGAATTTGACTTTACTATTTTGACTTTGGTGGTATGTATAGGTGGAGTAAAGTTTATATGAAGTATGGTAAACGTGCAGTGTAAAAGAAAGACACGTCATGATATTTTGAGCTGGTCTATGTCTTTATCACTGCTCTGTTGTTGAGTGGTTATGTATACACTGCTCGGATGTTGATAGTGGTTATTGTTAACACTGCCTGTTTGTTAAGTGTTATGTCTTACACTGCTGTCATGTAAAGGGTACGTCTACACGCTCGTATGTTGAGGCTGGTTATGTCTTAACACCTGCCTCGTGTATGTTGAGGCTGGTTATGTCTTAACACCTGCCTCGTGTATGTTGAGGCTGGTTATGTCTTAACACCTGCCTCGTGTATGTTGAAGCTGGTTATGTCTTAACACCTGCCTCGTGTATGTTAAGGCTGGTTATGTCTTAACACCTGCCTCGTGTATGTTGAGGCTGGTTATGTCTTAACACCTGCCTCGTGTATGGGTGACCCAGCACTACCTGCTGGATTAGCGTAGTGAAGAGTGAATCTTAGTGACGCCTCCCGTAGCTGTAGTAAATGAAAGTGGTGGAGAGGAGAAACTGTGTTGGTGATGGAGGGAGGGAGGGAGGGAGGGGGTGTGGGATAAGACATTGTTGGTAGCGCGGCCCACGTTGTATAGAAGTGGGTCAGTAGGTTAGTGTGAGAGTGACTAGACCGGGTGGTGGGTGTGTGTATGTATGAGCAGTGCGCGCACACACTCACGCACACACCCCTCCCCGCTCCTCTACACACACACACACACACACACGACACACACACACACACACACACACACACACGCACGGTTACCTCAGAGCTAACATAGACCCCGTTAGAGCGGGATAATTTAGGTCAAGCGAGCAGTTCTAACTTTCACTCTTTACTGGCGCTCGGCAGCGTTGGTGCGGCGAGCACAGTGTGCTGAGAGAGCCCTGAGCGCGTGTGTTGTGCGCCATGTGCGCCGCTCCTTGTGCTTATTACATCTCAACAGTGAAACAGTGATAGCAGTGATACTCTCAGTGCGTACATATCCTAGCCAGGAATTATATATCTGGTGAGTGGTGTGTGTGAGAATGCTCTCAGACATGGAGCTTCCTATATCAGTGCAAAACTTTAACTTGTCTCCCCAGTTTGGGCAGCTGACAATCTCTGCTGCTCCCATGAGTGTAGATATGAGTGGGGTGGGTATGGGTATAGCTACTAGTGCACTATCGCCCACCTATACACATATTACTACCGCAGGTGGAGTAGTGAACTCCACTGTCTCCACCAATACAATAACCAGTAACGTTACCAGTAACAACATGACTCCCACTCTAATAGACTCTGGTTTGTTTCCTGGGGTAGCGACGACCACCTTGGACTACACTTCGCTGACGGACATGCCCGACACCAAGGAGGGCATAGAGGAACTCTGCCCGGTGTGTGGGGACAAAGTGTCTGGCTACCACTACGGTCTCCTCACCTGTGAGTCCTGTAAGGGATTCTTTAAGAGAACTGTACAAAACAAGAAGGTATACACCTGCGTGGCTGACCGCTCCTGTCAGATCGACAAGACACAGAGAAAGAGATGTCCGTACTGCCGCTTCCAGAAGTGTCTGGAAGTAGGAATGAAACTGGAAGGTAAGTCAGTACCATTAACTTATTTGTAACGTGTTGCACAGCACTTATACTCAGTGTTACAGCCTCACACAACACTTACACTCAGTGTTACAGCCTCACACAACACTTATATTCAGTGTTACTGCTTCATGCAACACTTACACTCAGTGTTACAGCCTCACGCAACATTTACACTCAGTGTTACAGCCTCACACAACACTTATATTCAGTGTTACTGCTTCATGCAACACTTACACTCAGTGTTACTGCTTCATGCAACACTTACACTCAGTGTTACAGCCTCACGCAACATTGCACTCAGTGTTTCAGCCTCACACAACACTTACACTCAGTGTTACCTCACACAACACTTACACTCAGTGTTACAGCCTCACACAACACTTGCGCTCAGTGTTACCTCACACAACACTTGTACTCAGTGTTGCAGCCTCACACAACACTTGCACTCAGTGTTACAGCCTCACACAACACACTCAGTGTTACAGCCTCACACAACACTTACACTCAGTGTTGCAGCCTCACACAACTCTTACACTCAGTGTTACAGCCTCACACAACACTTGCACTCAGTGTTACAGCCTCACACAACACTTGCACTCAGTGTTACAGCCTCACACAACACTTACACTCAGTGTTACAGCCTCACACAACACTTACACTCAGTGTTGAAGCCTCACACAACACTTACACTCAGTGTTACAGCCTCACACAACACTTGCACTCAGTGTTACAGCCTCACACAACACTTGCACTCAGTGTTACAGCCTCACACAACACTTACACTCAGTGTTACAGCCTCACACAACACTTACACTCAGTGTTACAGCCTCACACAACACTTACACTCAGTGTTACAGCCTCACACAACACTTACACTCAGTGTTACAGCACCAAACATCTGTTGTATAACATTACCCCAGATACAGCAACTAGCACACTCCTCTGTTTGTCTCCACCTAGGTGTAGGCAGGCTTCTCCTAGGTGTAGTGAGGCTCCACCTAGGTTTAGTGAGGCTCCACCTAGGTGCAGTCAGGCTCCACCTAGGTGTAGTCAGGCTCCACCTAGGTTTAGTGAGGCTCCACCTAGGTGCAGTCAGGCTCCACCTAGGTGTAGTCAGGGTCCACCTAGGTGTAGTCAGGCTCCACCTAGGTGTAGTCAGGCTCCACCTAGGCGTAGTCAGGCTCCACCTAGGTGTAGTCAGGCTCCACCTAGGTGTAGTCAGGCTCCACCTAACTGTAGTCAGGCTCCACCTAACTGTAGTCAGGCTCCACCTAACTGTAGTCAGGCTCCACCTAACTGTAGTCAGGCTACTCCTAGGCGTAGTCAGGCTCCACCTAGGCGTATTCAGGCTCCACCTAGGTGTAGTCAGGCTCCACCTAGGTGTAGTCAGGCTCCACCTAGGTGTAGTCAGGTTCCACCTAGGTGGCCTGGTGGCTAAAGCTCCCGCTTCACACACGGAGGGCCCGGGTTCGATTCCCGGCGGGTGGAAACATTTCGACATGTTTCCTTACACCTATTGTCCTGTTCACCTAGCAGCAAATAGGTACCTGGGTGTTAGTCGACTGGTGTGGGTCGCATCCTGGGGGACAAGATTAAGGACCCCAATGGAAATAAGTTAGACAGTCCTCGATGACGCACTGACTTTCTTGGGTTATCCTGGGTGGCTAACCCTCCGCGGTTAAAAATCCGAACGAAATCTTATCTTATCTTATCTTATCTAGTCAGGCTCCACCTAGGCGTAGCCAGGCTCCACCTAGGTGTAGTCAGGCTCCACCTAGGTGTAGTCAGGTTCCACCTAGGCGTAGTCAGGCTTCACCTAGGTGTAGTCAGTCTCCACCTAGGTGTAGTCAGGCTCCAACTAGGCGTAGTCCGGCCTCACCTAGGTGTAGTCAGTCTCCACTAGGTGTAGTCAGTCTCCACCTAGGCGTAGTCAGGCTTCACCTAGGTGTAGTCGGTCTCCACCTAAATGTTGTCAGGCTCCACCTAGGTGTTGTCAGGCTCCACCTAGGTGTAGTTAGGCTCCACCTAGGTGTAGTTACGTTCCACCTAGGTGTAGTCAGGCTCCACCTAGGTGTAGTCAGGCTCCACCTAGGTGTAGACTGATGACTGCGGATAAACAGAAGGTTATCACAGCTGTATTTCTCATGTTATCAAGATGAGTGTGTGACCCATGATGAGTGTGTGACCCATGATGAGTGTGTGACCCATGATGAGTGTGTGACCCATGATGAGTGTACTCACCTAGTTGAGGTTGCGGGGGTCGAGTCCGAGCTCCTGTGACCCATGATGAGTGTGTGACCCATGATGAGTGTGTGACCCATGATGAGTGTGTGACCCATGATGAGTGTGTGACCCATGATGAGTGTGTGACCCATGAGTGTGTGACCCATGATGTGTAGGACCCATGGTGTGTGACCCATGATGAGTGTTACCCATGATTGTGTGACCCATGATGATTGCGTAGGACCCATGATAAGTTTGTGATCCATCATGAGTGTATAGGATCCATGATGATTGTCAGATCCATGATGAGTGTGCAGGACCCATGATGAGTGTGTAGGACCCATGATGAATGTGTGACCCATGATGAATGTGTGACCCATGATGAGTGTGTAGGACCCATGATGAGTGTGTAGGACCCACATGAGTGTTAGGACCCATGAGGATGTAGACCCATGATGAGTGTCAGACCCATGAGTGAGTGTGTAGGACCCATGATGAGTGTGTAGGACCCACGATGAGTGTGTGACCCATGAGCGTGTGACCCATGATGAGTGTGTGACCCATGAGTGTGTAGGACCCATGATGAGTGTGTAGGACCCACGATGAGTGTGTGACCCATGATGAGTGTGTGACCCATGATGAGTGTGTGACCCATGAGTGTGTAGGACCCATGATGAGTTTGTGACTCATCATGAGTGTATAGGACCCACAATGATTGTCAGATCCATGATGAGTGTGTGACCCATGATAAGTGTGTAGTACTCTTGGTGAGTATGTGGGACTCAGTGCGATATACAAATATACAGCAGCAGGTGTGGTGTATTAACATGCTACACAGAGAGCCATTACAAGTCAGTTGCAACTCTGCCATCCACATACTGATACAACCTTCCAGTACCTTTTACTTTCCACACAACCATGTCTGAGTGTGCATGGTTGTTCTCTTGTAGTGTCACACCAAGGTCTGGTACCTCCACACAGTGTAACACTAAGGTCTGGTACCTCCACACAGCGTAACACCAAGGCCTGGTACCTCCACACAGTGTAACACCAAGGTCTGCTACCTATACACAGTGTAACACCAAGGTCTGCTACCTACACACAGTGTAACACCAAGGTCTGGTACCTACCACACAGTGTAACACCAAGGTCTGCTACCTACACACAGTGTAACACCAAGGTCTGCTACCTCCACACAGTGTAACACCAAGGTCTGGTACCTCCACACAGTGTCCCGCCAAGGTCTGGTACCTCCACACAGTGTAACACCAAGGTCTGGTACCTCCACACAGTGTAACACCAAGGTCTGTACCTCACCAGTGTCCACCCACAGGTCTGTACCTATCACCAAGGTCTGGTACCTCCACACAGGTGTAACACCAAGGTCTGGTACCTCCACACAGTGTAACACCAAGGTCTGCTACCTCACACAGTGTAACACCAAGGTCTGCTACCTACACACAGTGTAACACCAAGGTCTGCTACCTCCACACAGTGTAACACCAAGGTCTGCTCTAACCGTACCACCAGTGCCAATACAACAAGGTCTGGTTCCTCCACACAGTGTAACAACAAGGTCTGGTACCCCCACACAGTGTCACACCAAGGTCTGGTACCTCCACACAGTGTCACATCAAGGTCTGGTACCTCCACACAGTGTCACAACAAGGTCTGGCACCTCCACACAGTGTTAAACCAAGGTCTGGTAACTCCACACAGTGTAACACCAAGGTCTGGTACCTCCACACAGTGTAACACCAAGGTCTGATACCTCCACATAGTGTAACATCAAAGTCTGGTGCCTCCACACAGTGTAACAGCAACGTCTGGTATGTCCAAACAGTGTAACACCAAGATCAGAAACCTCCACACAGTGTAACACCAAAGTCTGCTACCTCCACACAGTGTAACACCAATGTCTGGTACCTCCACACAGTGTAACACCAAGGTCTGGTACCTCCAGTGTAGCACCAAGGTCTGGTACCTCCACACAGTGTCACACCAAGGTCTGGTACCTCCACACAGTGTCACACCAAGGTCTGGTACCTCCACACAGTGTCAAACCAAGGTCTGGTACCTCCACACAGTGTAACACAAAGGTCTGGTACCTCCACACAGTGTAACACCAAGGTCTGGTACCTCCACACTAGTGTAACACCAAGGTCTGGTACCTCCACACAGTGTAACACCAAGGTCTGGTACATCCACACAGTGTAACACCAAGGTCTAATACCTCCACATAGTGTAACACAAAAAGTCTGGTACCTTTACACAGTGTAACACCAAGGTCTAGTGCGTGCACGCAGTGTAACCCCAAGATTTAATATCTCCACACAGTGTAAGACCAATATCTAATACCTCCACACAGTGTAAGACCAAGGTCTAATACATCCACACAGTGTAACACCAAGGTCTGTTACCTCCACACAGTGTAGCACCAAGGTTTAATACCTCCACACAGTGTAAGACCAAGGTCTGAAACCTCCACATAGTGTAATACCAAGGTCTGGAACCTTCTCACAATGTAACACCAAATTCGGACACCACCACATAGTGTAAGAAAGTGTGGTCTATCATATTCACACATTGTAACATCAATGTCTGCACCTTCACACAGTGCAAGACAAAGTCTGACATCTTCGCACAGTTTAACACTAATGGCTGGCATCACACATTGTAACACAAGGTCTGATACCTCCACAAAGTTTAACATCAAGTTATGACACTTCCATATTATTACACCAGGTGTGGCATCTCTACATAGTTAACACCAGGGC